ACAGAGGTGGCTGTGGACACCGAACAATCCTTTGGCCTTCTGCGGTGGGGCATCAGCAATTTGTGTTTTGGCAGTGCGAGCTTTGAGCTACAATTTTGGGTGGCTACAGGCCTTCTGCAGTGGGGCACATACACTGGAAACTCCGACTGTGTCTCATATAACCGATAGACCTCAACTGGCCTTCTGCACTGGGGCTATACAGTGGTGGACGCGAACACCGAGCATTCCTGGTGCCTTCTGCGGTGGGGCATTTGCAATTTACATCTTTCTTCTACATATTTGGTACTACAAATTTTGGCAACAATTGACCTTCTGCAGTGGGGATTTTACACTGGCAACTCCTTTGTTTTTCGCAGTGATTGTTTCCAGTGCAATACTTTTCACAGGTAGACATCAACTGGCCTTCTGCGCTGGGGCTCTACAGCGGTGGGGGCGACACCGGACAACTGTGCCTTCTGCGGTGGGGCTTTTGCAATCTACGATCTGACAGTGTGTTTTTGGTGCTTCAATTTTTGGCAGCTTCTGGCCTTCTGCAGTGGGGCATATACACTGGTAATTCACACAAGCTTTTCCCAGGTTTTTGCAGTAGTGACTTGCAGTGTGGCACATATCACAGACAAATATTCACTGGCCTTCTGCACTGGGGCTATACAGTGGCTGCAAACACACTGGATTTCGACTTCACAATTGATTACACTGACCCAGTTCACACCGTTTTTTGCGGCCTTCTGCGGTGGGACCACACAGACTTATTTGGATTGCAGGCTTTTCAGTACTCTCTGGCAGGACGTTTTAATTCTGATATTTTGGTGGTGCATTACATTGAGCAGCAAAGCAACCTTCTGCGGTGGGGTTCACACTGAACACCGGATCACGCTGCTCACTCTTCTTTTGGCTTGCAACAGTACAGGCCTTCTGGTTCAGATTTGCAGACAATTTTGCGTGTGGGATCGTGCCTTTGGTACTATTGGCCTGTGTTGGCCTTGGTACAGAAACAGGTTTCTTTTTTACTGCAGCTGGACGCGGCTCCCGCTGGCTAACTTGGCCCTTGAGCTGGCCCTGCAGTGGTATTCCAGTTTTACAGATTTTTGTGGTTGGTTGGACAAACAGTGGACTTCAAGCAAACTCCTGCAAACAGGACCACACAGACTGACTTGGTGGCCTCCACAGTGGGGCAATCCCGGTCCCAAGTCCGGGCATTCCAGAGGCAGCAGAATCAACAAATTTTTGCTCAGGTATTTGCTGATTTCCTTTATCATGGCTAACTTTCTCTGGAATGGGGGTGAGGGTTGCGGCAGGACCATGACTGCCGCTGGAACATCGTCCTCAATGGGCATTTTGCACCCTGACAATGGAGGTGTGAAGTTTCATGGACCGCGGCCAGAAGCGAGCTTCGGCCCAATCACCTGGCCCCATGGAGGAACGAAGGTGGTGAAACGAAGCATCAAACGTGCCTATAGAAGAGCTCAACTCCACGGGGTTAGCTGGTATCGTGGGCGCTGTTTGCAGCCCCAAGACTTCCAATTCTCTGCTCAGACATTGCCAAAACAGCAAGCAGGCCCACAGCCTTCCTTACAGCATCAACAGCGTTGCGGACGAGGTGGCAATGATTCTCATCAGTCCAAACGACATTTGAAATTTCTGCAGTGGAACTCTTCTGGACTCTCAAATGCGCGACTGGATGAGTTGAAGTGTTGGCTTCACCCCCAAAACCTTGACGTTGTTGTAATATTGGAGACGCATTGGCGATTTACTGGAGAATGGAGCGATACAGACTGGAACTTCATCCACAGTGGGGCGCCTGGCTCCTCGGGTGCCGGTATCCTCCTCATGATCTCGAAAAGAATTGCCAAGATGCAGGACCTCCAATGGAACGAGGTTCAACCTGGCCGCTTGGTTCATGCCAGACTGGGTTTTTCTTCACGACACGTTGACCTGCTTGCATGTTACCAGCATGCCAATACTTCAGGGCAAAGACGCCTTGAACACAGACGAAGTTGGTGGTCCCTTTTTGATTCTTATTTGACAAACCTTCCAAGAAGGAACGTGCTCATGGCCTTGGGAGACTTCAATTGCTCCCTTGAAGCTTGTGGTTCACATGTTGGCACTACCAATTTTCGCACTGATCGGGGTCTACTACCTGGAGCCCAACATGCTGATGCAGGCCAGTTTCTCTCGATTGTCAGAGCGCATGGTCTAGTTGCATTGAACTCCTTTTGTCCTACCCTTGGGCCAACATTTCAACATGGAAGTAACTGCTCTCGTATTGATTATTTTTTCACGCGCATCACCACTGCTGATGGTTGTGCCAAAAATGTCAAATATTTGCATGATCTTCCTTTTTTAGGTCCCAAGAAATATGGACATGTCCCCATGATTTGCCAACTCAAGCGTTATTGGATCCCTCCCAATGCTGACAGTGGATCCACAGGCATCTCTGCCCAGCAGAGAAAACAGGGACGTGATGCGTGCTTTCTGAACACTGACCAATGGAGCCATTTCCTGTTTGAGTCGGCTCAAAACATGACTGCCTATCTCAACAATGCGGAGCCCTCAGATCCTGATTTCATTGTCAAACTACATGCCATTGCAGGAGATGCTTTCAACCGTAGTTTTCCTGCGGGACATGGTTTGCACACAACTCCTCATTGGATATCCAACAGATCGATCATTTTGGACAAATGGCGACATCGTGAAAGCTGTAAGCACATAACAGTGGTGACGCCTAGTAACGTGTTGCATGCCTGGATGCACATCACCCGATTTCAGGTTCTGAAGCGGCTTCACAAACGATTTGCATGGCAGGTCAGACAGAGCCAGTTTCATCAAATCCTTGATGAAGCTCAACATGCAGCCTGTTGTAATGACTCCCATAAATTATTTCAGACTATTTCCAAATTCTGCCCCAAGCAACCGCGCAGAAGGGTCCAGTTAAGAAACCGATTAGGTAGCATTGCATCTCCAGTTGAAGAACTTGCCATTCTCAGTGCATTTGTCCAGAAGATTTGGCAGGGACCTGACCAACTTCCCATGCCGATTTTGGATGATGATGCCATGCCCTTTACAGAACAGGACTTGCTTCGAGCTTTGCGGAACATTCCCGCTACTAAAGCCGTTGCCAAACCTTTTGTTGCTGGCTTTGTTTGGAAATCGCAAGCCTCTGTCATCACTCCTTTTTTGTATCGTGCTCTATGCACATGGTGGAGTGCAGGAGCAGCCTTCCTGCCTCAGTGCTGGAAAGATGCCTGGATGATGCTCATCCCCAAACCGGGCAAAGCTCCGGTGGTGCCTGAATCATTGCGCCCTCTGGCGCTGCAGGAACCCATCGGCAAGGCAGTGATAGGAGTGCTAGCTCAGAAAGCCCAATCTCAATCACAATCATGCTTTGCTTCCCTGCCCTTTTGGGCGTATTTGCCCTGCCGATCGACACAACATGCACTGCAACGTGTAGCGATTCATTGCCGTGCGGCCAGAGCACTGGTGAGCTCTCAGAAACCCACGGCTTTCCACCGATATCAAAATCTCCCAAGTTTCAAGGTTTGTGGGGCCATACAGTTGTTTGTAGACCTGCAACGAGCATTTGACTGCATCTCCAGGGTTGACTTGTTTAGCAGACTCTGTGACGTCGGTGTGAACACCAGGATTGCTCAGCTACTAGCCAGCTGGCACTGCCAGACACACTACCATGTTGCGGTAGGAGGGCACAGCCATGCACTGCCTGTTGGATCTGGCGTACGCCAGGGATGTAAGGCTGCACCCTGGTTATTCAACGCCTTTCTAGCTCTCTACATGCAAGATTTGGAAGCTCATATTGACATGACTTGGCTTAGAGATCACCTTGATCTCTACGCCGACGACTTTAGGGTTGGTTGCCTGTTTCATAGCGAGTATGAGCTCAAGATGGTTTTGCGTAAGTTTGGTATTCTCCTGGAGCAATTACAGCAGCATGGCCTCACCGTCAATACTGCAAAATCAGCCATCTTGCTTACCATGGCTGGGACCTCCTACCGAGATGTGCGCGCCAGACTTGTGACCCAGACTGCGGATGGTCAGTGGATCAAAATATTGGGCACTCAAGGGCAGCTCTTTCAGATTCCACTTGTCAAGAAGCTCAAATATCTTGGTTGCATTGTCAGCTACGATCGCATGGAGACTGACACGCTCAAACATCGACTGTCCCTCATGAAGATTGCATTTGATCGTTTGCGCAAGTGGCTCACAGCTAAACATGGACTGACTTTGCCAACCAGAATGCGACTCTGGCAGACATGTGTTGTACCAGTTTTGACATATGGGATTTTTGTGATTGGATTGACACCAGCAGATCTGCAACGAGTTCAGGTCACGATGTTTACCATGATCAGACAGATTTTGCACAACCACTCATATCGCACTGGCATGACACACAATGCAGTTCTGAGCCACTGGAACCTTTTGCATCCGCTAGTTTTGCTTTGGCAAGCTGCTGACTCCCTTTTTCAGTCAGTGACCCAGTGCCTACCTGGTTTGCGATCAGATGACGTTGCGAAAACCATTGATTGGACTGGCCTTGCAGAGGTTAGGGACATGATTTGGGACCACTATCTCACAGGTCTGAACGTGCCTGGCACCGCTTCACTGCCAGTTGCCCAGGCAGATGACATTATCACTTGTGAAATTTGTGGTTTCTTGTGTCAACATGTGAGTGCACTTAGACGTCATCACACCCAGACCCATAAGATAACCCCGCACCTCACCTTTGTCCCTAACCCTGCTGATCATATGATTAATGGCCTCCCCCAATGTAAACACTGTTTTCAATCCTTCACCACATGGAGAAGTTTCATGGCCCACATCCAGCGTAGCTGCCAGGTGCTGCATCGCCAGTTGCCACCTGATCAGCTTCCGACTGGTCTGAATCCTGACCGGCATTTTGCTGACATGTCCAACCCAGATGCTGCAGTCCGAAGCTGCACAATGCTCACAGACCAGGAGCTTGCCTTTTTCCGCAGCCTTGAATTTGGACCACGTTTACAAACGCTGCTCCAAAACCGACAGTGGCAACAGATCTTGCGAGACAAGGCAGCCTGCCAATATATGGCGCACAAATGCATCTTCTGTGGACAATTTGTTGGCAGAGCACATGCTATGCACTTGCATATGAGGACGGCCCATCCCATGGATCATGATGCCATCCACACCAAGGCCACTCAGCTCACCAATATGCATTGTGATGAAACACCATGTGATGCCTGCGGTGTTACATTTCTGTACAATCATGGGTCAGATCTCAGCCCTCCTGGTGCACGGAGCCGGGCACTTTGCCCCACTTGACTCCTCTACTACTACTGACAAACTGACCTGTGCCATTTGCGATCTCAGGTGCCCTGATGCCAATGCGCTGCACCTGCATTTGATTGATGTGCACAAATTAGTGAGTAGCTCATGGAATGCTAGCAGGGACAGCCTTGCAGGTGAGCCGGCATGCAGTCATTGCCGCAGTTTGTTTGAGACCATGGAAGGCCTTCGCAGTCACATCAACCAGGGTCGCTGCAGAGCTTTCAACCCAGAAGCACCGACAGAATCAAAGCCAGTTGATCCAAACTGGGTCCTTGCATGCTGCAAAGGTCAGATGAGACAGATCCTTAGGGATGCACGTGTGAGAATGCGCCTGACGCTTCATTGCCAAGGATGCACCAGAACCTACACACGCTCGAATGACCTTTCCCAACACTTGCAAATTGCCCATTCCAAATTGTGGGCTGATGCAAAAGCTCTGACGTTGCAGATGGTTGAACTTTATTACAACTCCTTGGGATGTGTATGCAACCCTTCCTGTGCGGTGGCTCGTCTCAACCACACTTGCCTTCCATACACCCAGCTAGCCATGCAATTTCTCCGCCTTCCGGAAGCTGTTTTTCAACCGTGGCAAGTGCTTGAAACAGATCTTGCTAGGCTAGTTCCAAAGGGTTTTCCAGCTGCGCTGCGTTTCAAACTTGAACAATGTCTGATCAATCATGATCTGCGACCGCTCTGGAATGAGGATGACTTGATGCAAGCCTTGAGTCACCAATGTTTGCTCTGTGGCCACATTTGTCCAACAGCAGAACTTTGTCTTCACATGTATGAGGCGCACAACTGCACCAGTGGAGTGATTCAATCATATGTGCAACAACTCATGGTGCAACCAATTGCTCTTCTTGACACAGATTGCTCATGTTTTGCTTGTGGACAGATTTTTAACCACAACAAGCTTGTCACGACGGATGCCCACAAATATGTGCGACAAACACTGGTTCAAGGACACTTCAAGGCTCAGTGTCCCTGTGTACTTCAGTTGGCAGCTGTTCTTGCCTCCTTGCATCATGGCGGAAGATTGGCAGATGGACACCGAAGATGCTTCCAGCCAGGTGTTCCAGGCGTTTCGCAGTCTGGCCCCCTTTCTGGATGGATCACTGAAGTTGACGCCCAACCCGGGAGCTCTCAAGAGACAAAAGGTCCGCCCAGACAGCAAGGACCACAAGGACGACAAAAGCAGCGTCGACTCCGGTCTGACGCCAGCCCTTCAGGTGATGGCCAGGATGCTGATCCACCTGGACAGAGATCAGCAAATGCAGAAACGCGAGGACACATACATCTTCTTCTTCAACAGCGCGGAGGAGACAGGGTCCCTGCACCTTCTTCGCAAGACGGCAGAACAATGGCACAACCAATCGACACAGGGATCATCATCATTGAGGACACCGCTGAGGCAGCTCCTGTTACAGAAACTGTTTCAGGATCTCATGGACAGGATTCAGAAGCTCCTGGATGCCCCGGAGGGATCAGAACTGATGCAGAAGGCGATGGACGCCATGATTCTTCTGCCAGACCGAACCTTCCCGTACCTGGAATGGAATCCAGTCAAGAAGGCGCTGCAGGTGTCCAAAAAGACACCCCTGAGTCTGAACAAAATGCACCAGAACTGCACAGAGATGTTGGACATGCTGAGCGACCCATCGATCATACAACGATTTCATGCCCTCCCAGTCAAGGAGAACAGCAATGTAGCCCCCTGGCGTCTCCAAGTCAGCCTACGGGCGGACAGACCCTGGGAGCTTCTCCAAGCCCTTGCAAGTTCCAGCGTTTGGACACTGATGGCTACGAGCTTGAAGCCTCACAGCAGGATGCAATCTCCATTGGCGCTGCAACTGGAACAAATGATGGGCCTAACAACTGGGAAGGATCACAAGAAAGGCAAGGGCAAGGGCAAGAGTCACAGACCCTCGCCGCAGACCACCAAGAAGGAGCGCAACACACCTTGACACGCACCGACATGATGTCGATTCTCTCTCATGCCGTCATGGAGAATCCCAACAACTGGTGCTTTGCCAATGCAACTGTCCAATCGCTGCTATGGTGTATGCTGAGCCTGACACATTTTGATCCAAACATGTGGGGTTTGCAATGCAGCACTTTAATGAATTTCCTTCATAAGTTGAACACTCAAGCTGGCAATCTTTCACAAGAATCCTTTTTCACTGAAGTGCTGCAGTGCTGGGGACCGGCTGACATGGCCGCCACTCAAAGTAGCATCTCACAACAGGATGCAGCGGAGTTTGTCCAGCATTGGTTGCAATTGTTGGACACGGACACATTTGACATGCGATGGGAGAAACGCCTGACAGTTGCAGATGATGTGCGGGTGATGGACACAAATGCCAAACATACTCCCATTTGTTTCAAGTTCAATGTGCAAACGATGCTCATGCAAACTTGTGATTTGACCTCCCTCGGCGTTCACTGGCATCAGGATGATGGGATGCTCACGTGCTTGGTGACGGCCTCTGATTGCTTGTGTATTCACCTTGACCGCAGTGTACATGGACCCACTGGTATTTCCAAGTGCCTTAGCCCGTTGCAGTCGGACACTGAAGTTTTGTTGCCAATCTTCATTGGAGATACTGATTTTGATCATGTTGGATATACCATTGTTGCCCTGATGGCACATCAGGGAAGTGATGGCGCAGGTCATTATCGTACGGCCCTGAAGGTGTCACCACATGTGCGTGATCGCATTGGCCCTGTGAGCTGGCTCCTCTTGGATGATTGGCGCAACCCTGAACCAGTCTGGAATCTCCCAGCCTGGTTCACCAGCACCGTGACTGTGATCTGGATGGTGCGAACGGATGTACTCCACCTGCATGCTTTTAGAAGGACTGCAGTTGAAGAATCCCAACGAGCGCTGTGGGACATGCTTGCAACCAGGCCGACCCCTGGCGATGAAGCTCCTTGAAGGTTTGAATGGCACGAGACTGACGGAATCAACATTTTTTCACCATTCGTTTTTTCTCCTGTCACATAAACATGTGATAAACCAATGGGTGCCAGGAAGTTTCCAACAAAGGAACCGCCTGTGAACAGGTGCTGGCCGGCATGGACCATTCTGCAGTGTGAAATGGCGTGTGCGCAAAAACACACACACACACACCCACGCACGCACGCACGCACGCACGCACGCACGCACACACACATACACATACACATACACATACACATACACCAACACACACACACCAACACACACACACATACACACACACACCAACACACACACAAGCCCCTCTGCACTCAAAGAAGTGTCTCAAAGGTTGAGGAAACCTCAGGTCAGGTAGATACGGCACGTTCTGTTTCCTGAGCAATTTCGCTTGTGCCTCTGGTTTGGATGATTCATTGGCTGTTGCTTTCATCACTTCTTGTACACGCTGCTTTACAGAATTTTGGACAGATATTGATCTCAATCTGCGGGGTTGGCTCCCGGGCATTTTGCATTACTGGCCAGAGATCACCTGTTCATTTTCCTACACGTGGTGGACTTGCAGAAAGCAGCACACACATTCTGAACCTTGCTGGTGACACAAGACAACAGGTTAAGCAACATCCAATATACGGGATAGCATTGCCGGAAATTCCTGACATCCTCTCCTTGAACAGCAGACCCGGTCCCAAGTCCGGGCATACCAATCCTTTGACAATTGCAATCAAGTGGACAATGCACGATGACCAGCAGAGTTTGCAATTCACGATGCATACCCAAGGGTATGGGGGTGAGGGTTGTCTCCCATTGTCTTGGTGGGAGACAGGAACCGGAATACACAATAGCTTCAATGCCGAGGACCTGAACCAACTATATCCGGTGAAACAACAAGACAATGTGCCACAGATGAGCTTCGGCTCTAAGCGCTGCCCTTTGATGACCACTGACATGCGCAGCACAATGAAACGGAGTTTGCGACGAGCATGTAACAGAGCAGCTACTGATGGATATGCATGGTATCGAGGAAACTACATTCCGTATGAGGCCTTTCCAATAGCCCTGAGGCAACAAACCAGTTCATTGCCCAGGCCAACAAGGAGATCTTCAGGAGCTGAACATCCTAGAGTTACACCACGACACAGAATGAATGTCCTACATCTAAATGTAGGAGGACTGTCCACAGAACGTTTGGCAGAGATACAAACCTGGTCCCAACTTCGAGACGTGGACATTGTGGTCCTGACTGAAACCCGATGGCAATTTTCATCGGAATGGTCCAATCAAAAATGGAACTTTGTACATAGTGGTACCAGTGATGACAGGAGTGATGGAATCCTCATTCTGCTTCGTCGACACATATGTCCCTCAGAATGCATAGGCATAACTGAACATCTTGTTGGACGCCTCATACAGATTAGAATTCATTTTCAAGCTCGATCTTTTGACCTTTTTTGCTGTTATCAATACGTTGACAACAGAAGTCTCACCACGAAGCAACAACGTTCCCTTTTTTGGTCTACTCTGCAACAGGGTTTAGACAATGTACCCAATCGGAACTCACTACTGATAGCTGGAGATTTCAATTGCTCCCTTCAACAAGATGGACATCATGTTGGCACGACCCATTTCAAATGGTGCAATGCGAAGCAGACAGGCAGACAACATTCTGATGCAAAGATCTTTCATGAGCTCCTTCATCGTTTTGACCTCACTGTCCTGAATAGCTGGAATGCCGCTGCGCCACCAACATTTTGTAATGGATACCTTGCCTCCCAAATTGATTTCTTCATCACTCGACATGCTGATAGTGATTTGTTCTCCAAGCAAGTGGCCTATCACCCTGATGCTGAGTATCTTCCATTGAGCGGTGCCATGCACATACCTATCCTGTGCACAATTAGGAAGATTCCCTATGTTTTCACCAAACGCGCAGGCATGCCAACATGTACCTATAGGCAACGACTTCAATGCAGAACGGTTTCCAAGACTGATCCACAACTTTGGACTCAAATGCAACATCAGATTTACACCAAGCTTCATGAATTTCAACAACACATCCATGCTGATACCAGTTTTATTGATGATGTGCACTCCTGTATCATGCCCATTTTTCAACAATTTTTCCGAAAACATGCGTGACCAACAACAATTGTCCCGCTACAGACATCATTGAGTCCAAGTGGACGCATCGTCGACAGATGCTAGCACTTTCTTTCCCTACGCTCAAGAATATGTACAGAGCCTGGTATCACCTGGCCAAGTTCTCACGATTGAAAAAACAACATCGAGAACATGTCAAACAGCTCAAAAAACAGCAGCTTCAAGATCTTCTCACTGAGGTAGACACTGCCGCTGCACGGTTTGACAGCTTTCAATTGTTTCAAATTATCAACCGTTATTCCCCCAAACAACCCAGAAAGAAGATCAGACTGAGAAGAGCCGATGGTGCACCAGCTTCACCTGCTGATGTCAGGCAACTTACCACCGATTTTATCAAGACCAAATGGGCTGGACCCACAACTGTGAACCTTCCCGCTTACTCTTTACAAGAACTTCCTTTCACGGCTGATGAGTTGGAACAGGAGATTGCTAGGATCCCAGCTGTCAAATCCGTAGCACCCCAGTTTTTGCCAGGCATCATTTGGAAGAATGCATCCGTACAGATTGCACGAATATTGTACAGCCAATTAAATCTTTGGTGGAAGACCAACCATATTTTTGTACCAGCACAGTGGCGGCATGCCTGGATAGCATTCCTTCCCAAACCCAATAAAATTCCTTGTCAATTAGATCATCTCAGAGCCATTGCATTGATGGAGCCTCTAGGCAAAAGTGTGCTTGGAATCATCACATCCAGATTCAAAGACTCTTTGTATCCTATTGTCTCAGCATGGCCCCAATTTGCATATATTTCTCACCGATCATCCAGTGATGCTATCCGAAGGGTAACAGAACACTGCAACGAAACTAGGCAGCTCTTGCGCAATCAACAGAGGAATGTACATCAGCGGGCAGCCAATCTCCCTTCATTTGCTATTTGTGGTGGAATACAGATGTTTTTAGACATCAGTCGTGCCTTCGACGTCATTCCTCGCCAACCACTTTTTGACCACCTCAGCGCTCTTGCTGTTGACCAGGAACTTGTTTCCATCCTAGGTGCTTGGCACTCTGATACTGCGTACATCACACAACATGATCAAACTTTTGTTGAGACACCAACCGGTTGTGGCATTAGACAGGGGTGCCGTGCAGCGCCCGTCCTATGGACGGGATTTACCAATCTCATTTTTGAAACCCTGTCCACTGAAATTGATGCAGCCTGGATCAGGAAAGCCATAACGATATATGCAGACGACATTCATGGTGGAGCAGTTTTTCATTCGGCATGGGAATTGACAGACATCTTACAAAAATTTGGAATCATTTTGGATGTCATTGAAAGACATGGACTGACCATCTCACTTCACAAATCCATGCTGCTGATCTCTTTTGGAGGCACTAATTACAGAAAGGTTCAAACCACAGTGGTGCAAAGAGATGACCACGGCTTCTTTGTCAACATACCCAGAGCCAGTGGACGCGTCTCGAAAATGCCGGTGCACAAAACTGCGTGTTATCTGGGTGTTCAGATGTCCTACACCATGACAGAGAAGCTGACGCTGCAACATCGCATGAAAGCGGCCAGACAAGCATTCTTTCGACTGCGAAGATGGCTCAGAGCGAGACAACTGCGGATTCAGACCAAGTTACATCTCTGGCACTCCAGCATCTATACCACGCTAATCTATGGTTTGTTTGCCACAAACATCACCTTTCCTGGACTTTTTCAACTGTACACATTTGTATTGCAACATTTCAGGCAGATCACAGGGAACCACAGTTTTCAGACTGGGCTCACACACTCCCAATTTTTGCTACAATATGACCTTCGACATCCGTTTGCCATGTTGATGCACTCCATCAAACAGCTGCGCAGCCTACAGTGTCAGAGACTCATGCATTTGGGACCCAGGGATATTTTACACACTGTTGATTGGACCAATTTGCACTGCCTGGAGATGCTCATCCAAAGCGCCTGGAACACTCAGGACCCCAACATGGACCACCTGCTGCCCAATCTGAATGCGGAGGTCCACTACAGATTCTTTGCATGTGAATGGTGCTTACAATACAACGTTTTGACAGCCTGCCCAACTTGCGGAGACATCAAACCCATGTACATGGTCATACACAACTTCGAACACACCAGATCAATCCTGCCTCATTTGCACTAAATGGACTTCCCATTTGTTCACATTGTCATAAAACTTTCAGCACATGGCGCAGATTTCGGATCCATCTTGAACGGAACTGCTGTCAGGCCTCAACGGGAGCTACAAGTTCCTCAGCACAGAGAAGCACCCAGGAGACTCCCCAACATGGACTGTCTCGCAATGACCTCTCCCTGCTGATGAGCAAGTCCTATGGACCTACCTTGCTGCAAGCTGTGCAACAGCGCGCATGGGCTTCACTGAGGGCACTTGCACAGGCACATTCAGACTTGCGCAATTATTGCATACTTTGTGGAGTTTACCATGGCAGACCACAGGAATTGAACATGCACATACGCACACAACACGCACAATATGTGGCCAATGTTTTTGCCAAAGCAGCACAGCTTGGGAGAATGCAAGCATCTATTACACCCTGTTTTTATTGCAACAAACAGTTCCTACGCCATCATCAATGTCCTTTCTGGACTCAGATAGCTCTCCTCTTGGTGAATCTACCTACAGGTGATGCTACTGGCGCAGATGTTGTTCTCCAATGCGAAATTTGCAGACAGCAGTTCGAGGCCATATCCACACTTCATGATCATCTCTTCACTGAACACAGGTTAGAAGTACATGATTGGCTGCCCAACAGGGACCTGTTAGGAGCAGATCCAGTCTGCTCGCACTGCTTAGCCTGTTTCGCAGAAAAATCTGCCGTCAGGCAGCACATCACGAGAGGACTCTGCCCGAGCTTCAATGCGGCCAAGCCGATGGAGGAACTACCGGTGCCACCCAGCTTGCATCAAATCATCCTACATGGAGATCTGGGACTATTGCAGAAATCACCAATGTTGCGTCTTTCCATGACCCTGCACTGCCAGCTTTGCGGAGTTAGGTTCGAACGCCAACAAGATCTCTCACTACATCTTCAGACGGTTCATGTGGACAGATGGACTCAGACTCAGACTACGCTCCATCTCTTGATGCAAGTTGGCACATTGGACACCACATGCATTTGCAATCCACAGACAACAACAAGGGGAGTCTCCCATGTGTGCCCTGCGTATAGGCAACTTTCGATGCTCGCGCAGAAGGTGGATCACGAGCTCTTTTTGCCCTGGACCTTTGACATGGAAGGCACCAGAACATTCCTGACTTGCGTCCAGAATCATGCAGTCATTGACACCATCTTGACACAGCTTGAACACAGACAGTTTTCAGCTCTCTGGCACAACATCAGCGTTTGCAAATTGCTCAGCAGCACATGTTTGATTTGTGGAGGCATCTTTCATCCAGCTGTTCTCTGCGAACATGTGAAGGCTATGCATTTTCACGCATGCACATGGATTCCAGACCTGCTGCCTCAATTGCTGCCAGAATTCTTGAAACATCAGCTCTGTGATTTTCAGTGTCGATCGTGTGAACTTGTGTACAACTTGCCCATGCAGACAGAATGCACCTCAGAGCAATTGCAGCAGCGACAGCAACTGGTTCAAATCCATGCACAGCATCACTGTCCAGTAGTGTACCAGCTTGGTCTTCTTCTGACTCATGGATTACCAAGCCGAGCCGGTGGACACTCAGATGGGCGATGCCGAGATCCTGGAAGCCTTCAAGGCGATGGGGCCCCTCCTGATGCAGGACAAGTATCAGCGCGACACAAAAGAAGAAAAAGATCCCAAAAAACACAAGAGGGATCACCATCAGGAACCACCGGCCGGGACACCCGATGTGGCCAAATTGGTGCGCCTCATGGGCAACATTCTGCTGCGCCTGGACTCCGACAACCAACTGATGAAAAAGCAAGACTCTTTCGTCTTCTTTCTTCAAACAGCCGCCCCAGCTTTGTTGCCTCACTTGATGACGAAAGCGAAGGAGTGGCATGTGCAGATGAAACAGAGGACCCAGGCCACAGAGGAACTGCCGCCATACACCCCATTGCGTATGGTTCTCTTTCAGGACCTGACGAACATGTTGGAGGACAGAGTGCTCAAGCTGTCGAAGGCTGGTCAGGAGGACGAACTGTGGCAGACAGCTCTGCATCATGGAGTCATCACAGCGGAAGGAGGCTTCCCCTTTCAACGATGGAGTCAGATGCAGAAGATGTTGGTCCCAACGAAGAAAGATCACATCACGATGAGCAGGATGATCAAGTACATGGAGCAGCTCAAACAGATCTCCAGCGATCCGAATGCCATCCAGAAATTTCATGCGTTGAGACCGGCGGAAAACCAACAGACAGTTCCCTGGATCCTTCAGACGGGCATGAGACACGACGAACTCCAATCCTTGCTGGAGACATTACAGGGGTCGACGGTATGGGGGCTCATTGGTGCAACAATGAAGCCTCACTCACAGACGCAGAGCAAGCAATGTCAGGAGCTACAACAAATGTTGGGGAAGGGAAAGGGCAAACAGAAAGGGCACCCTGTGAAACCCAAAGGACAGGGCAAACAGACCCGACCACGCTGATGCCACCCTCAGTTCATCAACTTCGAGAAGGATTTGAAGCCATGATTCTCATCAATCTCGAAAACTGGTGCTATGCCAACACAGCGACTCTGACACTCCTGTGGGCCCTTTTGTCCTGCAGCACATACTCCAATATGGAGTGGGGACCACATGGACCAGACATTGTCCGTTTTCTGCATACTGCACTGCAGAAACCAGTTCATTTACCAGATCTAGATTGGTTTCAAAGTCTAATTGCTTCCTGGCATCATCAAGACGAACAATGTGATCCAGTGGAATTTTTGACTCATCTTGTCCAGGGGCTTCAAGTACCAGGCATTGACTGGTCATGGGAAAGACGCGTACAATTGGGGTCAGACATCAGCGTCCGAGACAAAAGCGCTAACCATGTCCCAATTACGTTGCACATTGACCCTGAACTCTCACATGCAGGATGGATCAGACTGGATGACATGATTCATACATGGTTCAACTACATGGGTATGCAGACTGCACTCACAGGAAGCACACCCATCATTTGCTTCCATGTTGACCGGCACGTGATGGCAGGCGATGGAACCACCCACAAGTCAGACCTCTCAATTGGTATGCATGGTGTTTTTTCGGTACCATTTTTCACAAATGACCGAACAGAGCTGGCATGGCATGACTACCGTGTGGTGGCCGCCATTGCACACCTAGGTGCAGATCAAGCAGGACACTGTCGTGCCACACTGCGCGTACAGGCTGATGTCAGTCACCAGCCGCCATACATGCAGCTGCTCACTGATGACAACGCTCAACCCTCTAGGTGCTGGCATGAACCCATGTGGTTCCTGCAGAATGTCATTTGCATTTGGCTGTGCAGTGTGGACACACTTGATCTGCATTCGTGTTCCAGTCCTTCACACATGCTGCCTGATGACAACACATCTCCAAATGATGCCTTGATGCGATTGCTCCGACAGTTTGGTTGACTCTCAGACCCGACCATGATGGTTGCATTCATTGAGTTGTTTTACCATTTGATTCACCACAGCCGTAAATGGACCCCATTCCAGCCATACCAAAAAAAAAACTGAAGCAGTGAGGTCGGCGCCGCATTCGAATCATTTTACTCTTGTCATGCTTGCCCATAGCTCGCAGCCATTTTGGCAATGTGCACGTCCACTTTGGACCAGCCTAGCAGGTGAACATTCCAATGTGTATTTGATCTGATTTCCCAACCTGCCATTTTGGCAAAAGCAAATGGCCACTTTGGCCCTGCCTAGACGGTACCTCCAAATTGAATTCCAACCCTTGCCTGGATAGATGGAGAGCCCTCCACATCCAACCTCCCCCCCTGCAGTTGGCCCGTTGGTATCCCCAACGTGTACCCCAGATGAATAAAAAAAAAACTGGTCCAAGAGGCACAGCCCACCGTTTCACGAAGGCCAGTATAAAAAAAAACGCTGTTGCTTCATCATCGTAGTCTTGATAGATCCAGTCTCACTGTACAGTGTTTCACCTTCAAAAAAAAAAGAGGGCTTTGACCCCAACAAGCTGTTGCTTTCCTCTTGAAAAAAAAAAGCAGTAGGATAGACCGGTCTCACTGTACAGAGTCTCACCTTCAATCCAAGTAGGACCTTCTTCAAGACCCCATGCACCCCAGCGCCCGCTGGCAGATCCCCCACGGTTGCCCCTTTTCATGCCCGTCGAAACCCGACGTGTACCCCCAGTTGTAAAAAAAAAAGAGGGCTCCAATCGCCCCATCAAGCTGTTGCTTCCCACTAAGAGACAAAAAAAAAACTGGTCCAAGAGGCACAGCCCACCGTTTCACGAAGGCCAGTATTAAAAAAAAAACCATGACAGGTCTTAGACGAGCGACTTCTCTTTAGATCAATTCTCACGGCTTACCACAAGCCACATAGATGTGCCACTGTGCACTCATCCCATCAAGCCTGCCTGTATATCCGTAGAACACCACTAGCTTTTGTGCATATGCATGCTAGATAGGCGGCAGCAAAAAGACCCTTCAACAGGGCCGTCAGGAAAAGGACTGACGTGGCACACGCGAGACTTTTCCACAGAAAAGGAGCGTAGGAGAAAAACACACACACACATACACATACACATACACATACACATACACATACACATACACACACACACATACACATACACACACACACAGCGGCACTTTGCGTGGCAGGCGTGGCACAACCTGACATCCACCTTGGTTTCACGTGGCAGGCGTGGCACAAAGTTACATCCACCGTCGTTTTGCGTGGCAGGCGTGGGACAGATGGCACTGGGTGGCGCGCTTGGTCCGGCTTGGGCGCCTGTGACGCCGCGGCACTTTGCGTGGCAGGCGTGGCACAACCTGACATCCACCTTGGTTTTACGTGGCAGGCGTGGCACAAAGTCACATCCACCGTCGTTTTGCGTGCATACACACACACACATACACACACACAGCGGCACTTTGCGTGGCAGGCGTGGCACAACCTGACATCCACCTTGGTTTCACGTGGCAGGCGTGGCACAAAGTCACATCCACCGTCGTTTCGCGTGGCAGGCGTGGGGCAGATGGCACTGGGTGGCGCGCTTGGTCCGGCTTGGGCGCCTGTGACGCCGCGGCACTTTGCGTGGCAGGCGTGGCACAACCTGACATCCACCTTGGTTTTACGTGGCAGGCGTGGCACAAAGTCACATCCACCGTCGTTTTGCGTGGCAGGCGTGGGACAGATGGCACTGGGTGGCGCGCTTGGTCCGGCTTGGGCGCCTGTGACGCCGCGGCACTTTGCGTGGCAGGCGTGGCACAACCTGACATCCACCTTGGTTTCACGTGGCAGGCGTGGCACAAAGTCACATCCACCGTCGGTTTGCGTGGCAGGCGTGGGACAGATGGCACTGTGCACATTTGTAGCAATCCCTTTTCACGTGGCATCTCAAAGTCGATCTTCATCTTGCATGGCATGCACCAACAAAATACATATGACATGCGCTTCATCTCATCAGCACATCGGCAAACCTGACAGTTCGCAAAAAGGCTCGTATCCGGAGTTTGAATTCAGATTTAATGGGACAGCATGTCCAGCCACTGCTGGTAGGTCAAATTACACCCTCACAAAAAGCATGGCACTTTGAGGATTTAACAACCGACCCCTTAATTCAAACTCAGTACGGCCCGGGCCGATCCCGTTCCCCCCCCTCCGATTTCGGTGGTGGTGGTCGGAGTATGTGTGCCGGCCATGCTGTCAGAGGGCGTCGTGGGCTGGGTGGTCTATTGATCATCCCTTGAAACACTTTAGCAGCCGCCACAGGTGCTCCCGGAACCTTGTGAACCACCGCAGGTGGTGGCACCGGAGGAAACTTCGGAGCTGCCACAGATGGTTCCGGAGGAATCATGGGAGCTGTCACAGGTGGTTCCGGCGGAAACGGAAACTTGTGAGCTGGCGGTGGAGGCAAAACAGTCAAAGGAGGAACATCCGCACCACCAAGCGAAATCCCAGTCGCCGAAGGAACAGGGGTAGACGAAGGCACAGGGGTAGACGAAGGAACAGGGGTAGACGTAGGAACAGGGGTAGACGTAGGAACAGCTGGAGGAGCAGGAATTGCCGGAGCGGAAGACTCAGGGAGAGATTCAGATCCCGAACTCGGCGTTGCCTGCGCCTTCTGCAGGCACAACTCAAGCAAAGGTCCACGCATGCTTGACTCCCAACCTCAACAGCGGATGGCCCATGAATGAGACAGGATCCTTACATTCAAACCCACCTTCATGACAAGGCATGCCATGACTCATCATGGACGTGTCAAAAACACATGAGCACTTCAAGATTCTCATGATGACCCAGCATGACCACTTCCAAGATTCAACAACAAATCAAGAACTACCATTTCATGCCATGGCGTGCCAAAAGGAACATGAAAACTCAAAAGGTTATCATCAGCTAATGTTGTCGTCCATGCTTTTTAAAGATTGCCACAACAATCACATAGTATGTTAAATTGAAATGCATGCCAAAAAATATCCGACGAAGGCTCGGTACCACAGTCCTTTGCGCTGATTCTGGCCCAAACTCGGAAAGTACACCTCAACGTCCTGAGTAAAATGGCTGATGTATCCAAAGATAGCACCTCGGAGCATTGATGGTCAGTACCATCACTGCAATGGACATGCCATGTCAAACTATGCCAGCCATGTCCAGCCGTGGTGTCACATGCCATGTCACACGTCTTTCATGCCCCCATCATGCCCCCATAATGCCATTTCAATTTAGGCGCCATGTCATGCCAGCACATCCCAAGTCATGCCATCAAATGCCATGTCATGCCATCAAATGCCATGTCATGCCATCAAATGCCATGTCATGTCATGCCAAAATGCCATGTCATGCCATGCCATCATGCCATCAAATGCCATGTCATGCCATCAAATGCCAATGCCATCAAATGTTGTTGCCATGTCTTTGCAAGTCACGTGTATGTCAAACATGCCAAGCTTGAGAACAAGTGGCACACCAAGGCAACACTTCGGTGACAACCCCAACTGCACCAGATAATGGGCTTCACCTTCCTGCCAGAAGCCGCCATGGACCTTAAAACGGGCACCAGTGTTATAAGACCTTGAAGACCCATAGATCCAAAAAATATATATATTTCTGGGTTTGCCTGCCGTCAAGGGGCAATACGGTTTTGGCCACATTCTTCGCCCACTTCACCACCTCAGGATAGTCTTCCATCAGCTTGTTTTGAACGAAGTCATCCAAGCCAGTGTTCTTCTCCCTTGTCTTCTCGAGGAAGTCTCAGGATTCAATGGCCAGCAAATCAGTACTGACCATGGTCGTGCTAAGGCATGTTGTGTCATGCATGTCATGCATGCCACTTATGCTCATGCCACCTGATGTCATGTCATGTCATCCTAACAACTCATGGCAAGTCATATCATTGTGTCAAACCGTGCCATGCCATGCCATGTCATCATGTCAAACCATGCCATGTCATCATGTCAAACCATGCCATGTCATCATGTCAAACCA